GGTGGTGAAGCTGGAGAGCGCCAGGGAGCTGAGCCGCATGTTCTTGCCCGACATGATGAGCTCCCCAAAACCCTCCTGGTGGGAAAAGGCATAACCGGAGCGACGCGAACCCACGCGCCCCACGCGCCGCATGCACCGGTGCTGCGTCTTCTGCTTCTTCCGCACCAGCTGAGTGTAGCGCACCTGGGGACACCATCGAGGGGACAGGGGGACACGGTCAGTGACCTACAGAACCACCTGCCCCCAGGGGACCGTGGGGTCTGTCCCCATGGCCACGTGCTCTCACCGTATCCGAGAGTTCGGGTTTTAAGTCCAGCTTGAGGAAGCGAAAGGCCACGACGGGCATGATGCAGACCACAGTGGTGAGGGCGATGGTCAACCAGACCGTGGGCTGGGCCAGCGTGTTCTGCGCATTCCCTGGTGAGGGGAAGAGTGAATCCAGTCAGGGCTCAGCTGGGGCAGCACTCTGCTGGTGTAGGGGTCATCACTCAGCACCCCCAGGACTCACCCACAAAGCGGAACTGGTTGGGGAACATCTGGAAGAGACCGTCGCTGTGCATGGCAAAGAGGATGGCGAAGTAGGCGGCCAGGCTGCCCCAGATGAAGAAGTGGTTGATGGCCGTCCAGAAGCCCGTGTCCAGCCCAATCTGGTGGAGAGGGGAAGGAGGAGGCCAGGCTCAGGGGACAGCCACCGTGCTCTGAGCATGGCCACAGGGCAGGACGGGACCCAAACCTTCACCCACCCTTTGAGCTGCATCCCCACCTGCACGCTGACGACAATCACGAGGGAGGTGGCGACAGTGACGGCAAAGGACTGGTAGTCGGCCAGCTGGGCACCATCATCGCGGGTAGCGTCAGCGAAGACGCCGTAGGGGATGAAGAACATGAGGACAGAGGTGTAGATCCCTTGGGCGATGCAGATGAAGAACTCCCGCTTGTTGAAAAGCAGGTTCAACTGCCCAGGCTCATAGAGCTTGGGGTACTCCATGCTCCGCTGCTCTGGCACGTCCTGGGGACAAGGGGCACTCTGGTCACCTCCATCCAGCTCCAGGCAGGCACAGTCCATGCGCTGGGGCTGGGCCAGCCCCTACCATGGAGGGACAAGGACATCCCAGCCCAGGCAGCCCTTCCTCCCACACACTGGGCCATGCAGGGAAGCTGGGCCAGCTCCTTGCACACCCAGAGACCCCCCTCACCGCTCCCCACCATACCTGGTCAAAGACCCCCATGGCGAGCACGGGCAGCGAGGTGTAGACGATGTTGTAGAGCGTGATGAAGTACTGGTCATACACAGTCTGCATGGGACAGAGGGCTCAGGGGGACACGAGACCTGCCCCAGCCGGTCCCCATGTCCCCACACCCACAGCTGCAGGGACAGGAGAGCCCTGGCCACACGGGTTCCTCGCACCCACCACCACCCTCCGGAGGGATCCTAAGCTGTGCCTGCTTGGCCATCTCCCCACGGGGAGATGAGGCTGAGGGAGATGAGGATGAGGTTGGGGATGAGGCCCCACGGGGAGCCCAGGGATTGGGGAGTGCTTCTGAGCAGAGGGGTCCCACAGGCAAACTCTCGCCAACTTCAACCGCGTGGAGCCTACAACGCACCTGTGCTGAGAAGCCACAGAAGAAACCAAACCAGAAGTGGACCATGGTGAAGGCGAAGTTCTTGTAGAAGAAGTAGCAGAGGAACTTGCACATGCGTAGGTAGGACCAGCGCCCGTGCACCAGGAGCAGGCGCTGCAGGAACTTGAACTGCGAGAAGGAGTAGTCGGAGGCCAGCACTGCCTGGATGCCCTCCTGCCCGCTGATGCCCACCCCGATGTGGGCGGCTGCGGAGGGAAGAGACACGTGGAGTGAGGAGGGTTCTGCCAGGAGCACAGGGGACCGGGGGTGGCACCCCCACAGCGGGACTGTGTTCCTGCAGGGCACAGAGGGGTGAGGACAGACGCTGACACGGGCTGCAGGACAGCGCGAGGGGAGACCTGTCGCTCCCGCGGCTCCCCAGATCCCAGGACTTACTCTTGATCATGCTGACATCGTTGGCCCCGTCCCCGATGGCCAGGGTCACAGCTTTCTTGTACTTCTTCACCAGCTCCACCACCTGGGCCTTCTGCAAAGGCGTGACACGGCAGCAGATGACGGCCTTGCAGGCACATGCTGTCTCCAGGAACTCCACCTCCATGTCAGCCTCCAGCGCGTGGGCCTGTGAGGAGAGCGGGGGGACAGTGGGGGGAACGTCCCACAGCCAGGCACAGTGCCCCATCCAGCCTGGCACTCCCAGGTCCCTACCAGGCTGTGCCCATTGATGACCAGGGCATATTCGCCTGCGATGGCTTCCAGCACAGAGGTGAGCTTGGAGGAGGAGAGTTTCTCCTGGTAGGAGAAGCCGTTGCCCACGGAGCGTGACGCATCCATCATCTTCTCCCGGGCTTTCCTGAGGAGAGAGATGGGTCAGTGGGCTTCGATTATGGCCCAACTACGTTTGGACTCGATGATCTTAAAGGTCTTTTCCAACCAAAATGATTCTCTGATTCAGGGCATTTCTGTATCCCCCAGGTCCCCCACACCGACCTCGCACACGTCCCCTGCCCAGCCCTGCCCCCGACCCTCACCTGAGCTCCTCTCGCACCTCCAGCACCGTGTGGCCCGTCACCACAAACACGTCCGTCATGTCGTCTGTCAGCATCTTGCAGGAGTAGCCGATGTTCACAGCCGTTTCTGGGGACAGGAAACCAAGGACTGAGCCAGGGCCAGCTCAGGGGGGAACGTCTGTCCCACCGCCCCCCAGGCAGGTGGGATCCAGCCTGGGAATGTCCTTGTCCCCACCCCAGCAATGCCTCACCCTGTTTGTCCCCCGTCAGCACCCAGATCTTGATGTTGGCCAGCGTCAGGATGGCAATGGTTTCGGGGACCCCCTGCTGCAGTTTGTCCTCGATGGCCGTGGCTCCGAGCAACTGGGGGACCCAAACAG